AGGAATATTGGAGCTTCAGGGTGCCGTAGGACTGCTTGGTGGAGTCGGCTAGCTTTGAGACCACTGCTTCTTGCGCAATGGCATCCAAGTCCTGGGAGGTTCTCCCCAAGCAGGGCTGATGCTCCTTCAAAGAGAAGAAATCTTCCGGGCCTAGGCGGGGACTACAAGTTCTTTCCCCCCACGTTGTAGGGAGGGCCATGGGTTCTTGCCAGGAGTGAGGGAGCAGCTCGAGTTCGTCCTTGGGGGAGTCCTTCTTTCTGACCCAGGCCTGGAGCCAGATTTCAAGTTGAGAGATAGCCGCCTCCTCTTCTGGGCGTGTATATGTCCTGGCTGTCTGGACTGACTCCGTGGCTGACACATCAGCGTCCTCATCTTCACATATGTACTGGACGGCGTCGTCGGGGGCCGTGTGCATCAGCTCGGGGATCTCGAAGTGCTCGGAAGTGGAGTCCTCGTCGTCCAAGTCGGGATAGGCCTGTGCAAAGTTCCGAAGTCTCAGTGCGGCTGTTCTCCTTGTTCTGGTTCTGAGCAATTGAACACTCTCTTTTACAATGCCCTTTCTTGCCACACAACCTACAGCTCGAGTTGGCAATTCGATCTGCCAATGTCTGGCTTCTTCCCGAGCTGCCCTTTGCAAAGTCTCTCTTCCCTTTTCCTCGGCCTTTCAATGCTTTTGCTGGAGCCAACTGGCCAATATCCTCTGGCCTTTGCCTTCTCCCGGAGACGGGTTCTTGCCTCTTGACAACTTGCAACACTGGGGCCAAGCTGCTTTCCTGAACTGCATCCACGATTGCGTCCTCGAACTCGCTGATATAAGTCGCGTCTTCGTCGCACGATTCAGTGAAGCAACGCAAGATATCCTTGCCCATCATGTCTTCGTCGCCTCCTTGGCCGTAGGCCAAGTGTGCCTTGTCCGCACGGTCGGCTTCCGCCGTGTGAACGTCACGCACCTTGGTCTTCTGCTCCATGACTCTGTTCGAGCTGCCGCTGGCCTTCGCCTGAAAGTCGCTAAGAGTTTTTCGTTTCTCTTGTTTTTTGTTGTGAATCTCGTGCCGCACCGCTGCCACTACTGAGTCACCACTACTGCTCCTAGGCAAAGACTGTTAGCCTGCTACAAGCCTTTAAGTAGATCACCTTCTACGTAACAGAAATTCCGTAGCCATTTTGGCTCAAGGCCAAGACCGTTAGCCCACTACAAGCCTTCAAGTAGATCGCCTTCTACGTAACAGAAATTTTGCGCTCAAGCAAGCAAGCATTTACAGCCTTAGCCTTAGGACGTCGGGCACTTATCAGGTTCTGAAATGGGCCGCTGCCCTTACAGTCCTGAAGCCTTTCACTTTTCTGCTGTGAGCCTTGAGGCCACAACTGGGAGTGCCTTAGTAGCCCCGCTAAGAAGAGCAGGCCGCAGCCTACACTCCAGCCTTGCGTTGGATTTGAAGGCTGGGAGGCCGCAGCCCTACACTACTCTCGCTTGAGCCCGCTTGGAAGCAAGACCTGCGCTAGGCCGCTGCCTTGCGGACACGGGAGCCCTCAGCTCAAGATGCTCTCGTTTGAGCCTGCTTTCGTGCAAGCCACGCCTTAGGCAGTAGCCTTCGGGACGCTCCGCCCTCAGAGCTTCAGAACGCATATTTCAGCTTGTTCGGGTTGCCCACGCCTCAGCCCTGGTCATGTTTAGCTCGCTGTGCTTAGCCCTGAACCCGCTTGCGAGGAATTCAGGTTCTTTCGAGCGTTTGAGTCCCAGCATCTGCAGCTTGCCCTTGCTGAGCTGATGCAAGTCCTGCGGTTCAACCCACGAAGCTTGGAGCTGACGCCTCAGCTTCCTACAGCCTTGCTGCAAGTGAGCCCGCGGAGCCCTTGCCAGAGCACAGCCCTGCGCGCTGTGCCAAGACCGCAGTCGCAGTCTTCACGAAGGATGGCCCGCAGAGCTAGCTTGAAGTGCCCTCTGCCGCTGCAGTCTAGGTAACAGTCCTTCTTACAAACATGAAACTAAAAGTCTTGTGAGCCTCGAGTCATGGTTTGTGTCCCACAGCGTGCTCATGCACTCAAGCATTTTCAGGTCTTTGCTAAGATACCCTGGCCACCCTTATAGGTCGGGGATGGTCCGGCAGCTCGCAGTCAGAGACAGCGCACGGAGCCTGCGTCAGCCTCCGCTCAAGGCCTGTTTTGAGACCTTACTCCTGTGCCTGCTTCACACACCGGCAGCAGCCTCCCCTCAGGCGTCAGAGCCCTCGCAGGACACGCAGCAGGCCGCAAATCCAGCACAACCTGCGCAGCCCCAATTCCATGAGTCGTTCCAGGTTTCATCAGCCTCGTCGCCTGTAGCCAAGATGCCCACGTGCCTTGATGGGAAGGCATGTCGCCACAAGCCCTGAAAGCCCAGGAACCAGCTCGTCAGCATCCACAGCCTTACAATCAGAGGCAGCTCCGCAGCCTTTTAGTCCGGGACACCGGTGAGGCGGTGAGCCCTGGCGTCCTCTCTCAGCCCTCTGCTTCTGTTGGCTTAAGCCCTGTGGTCTAGCTCGTAGCAAGCAAGTGCCCAGCTGCCTTTAAGCAGGGATCAAGGGCAGGGGAGAAAGGGCCGGCGCCCAAACATGGCAGGCGGTAGCTTAGGAAGCAAGCACGTGCTTCGACAGCAGCTAGGGCGCAAGCGTCAGCCTTTCAGATGCCTTTGTCTGCTGCTTTGTTTTGTCTGCGCTCTCTGGCCGTACTTTTCGAGAAGACGATCGGGACTACGCACGCCTCGCAGTCAGCTCCCTGCAGCCCTGTCTGTGCAGTAGTGGTTGCACAGTTGCCAGTGTATGCCTTAGACCTGCCTGCTCCTTCTCAGTCGCCCTCGTGCGTTTTTAGGCTCAGGCATTTTTCATTTCAGGCTCGGCTTGCCTTTTTTTTTGCTACTTACAATGGCAGACCCGCGCCGGATCAAGTGCAAGCGCTGCCTCAGGAACCCGGCAGGCCCACAGCCTGCTCAGTAGCCTCGCCAAAAGCCCAGCTCGCCTCAAATGCACACTCGTCCATGCAGCCCGCAGAGCAGAAAGAGCGCTCTCAGACCCAGCCTGCAGGGCTGAGCTTGCCGCCCTTGAGAGGCCTGCTTCTAGCAGCCCACGCTAGCCTCCGCTTTGATGATGTTCAGCGCATCAGCCTGGATAGGATGAGTCTGACAGCCTCTTCGTTAAGAGGCATACGCTAGGCAACCATGACGTCCTCCTCTGGCCAGCCCTTCGCAGTTACGCTCACCAGAATCACGGGTCGTGACATACAGAGAAGACTGGGGGAGAGCAGGCTTGTCCCACAACAAGGGAGCTCAGCGTGAACTCCTTTGTGAGGATAACCCTGCCAAAGACAAGACTATCAGGTGTGGAATGCATGTCGTTCGCGTTTGCTCTTTGCACCTAAATCATCATGCAGCCACTGCCAGCCCTGGATTCTGTGGTGAGCTTCTCAGCACCATGGTTGCCGATTGCTTCCATTACCAGGTTGATATGGCGATGGTAATGCCTCAACAGGTTTGGGGGCAGCAACCAAAAATCGTCCTCTACTGAGCAGTCTCTCTTTCAGGATGTATTCAAGTCCTTCAGAGACGCCTTTGTGTCGTGCCAAGGAGATGACCTAGCGCTCAGCCCTAAACTGAGGTTCACTTCAGGCAACACGACAGAAACTCTTCGTTAGTTTGAGGAGACCTTTGGTCGCCCTTGGAATGAGATTGAAGTCAAATATCCTCCTGATGCGCCTGATGTGGATTGCATGGTTGCTTGCATCATTGAGTGGGGGCATAGCCAGAACCTTGACAAATGGTCAAGTCATCCTCCAGCAGAATATGTGTGCATCATTAAGGTCAGTGAATTCTTGATGTATGCTGGATTGGAAACTTCGTTCCTAGGTACTAAAGACAAGGACAGCCATACCATCTTGTTTTTCACGCTCTGCCATAACCTCACCACTGCGCGGGATCGAAGGAGTTATGTAACATGAAAGTAAATTTGTGCCTGATTGAAATAAGTTCAATCCTGTTGCTTTGCTATCAGTCCATGTGACACAACTGAAATGCGTGTTGCTGTTGCCGCTCTCAAGGTTCTAGGGAGTTAGTGCTCGAGTGCGCGTAGAGAGTGGAAAAGTGGACAGAGACGCCCGCTCGCCTGTCTACTGTACACTGTAGAGGTAGTTCACGCTTGGGCCAATCTCACGGGGACAGGGTTGCGCTGAGTCACTAAAGAGGGGACGAACGGATTGGACAGAGATGCTTGAAGCCTTCCTGCCTCCAAGCCCTCTGTGAGCTACACTCGGAGCAACCCAAGAAAAAAGAGACTGCTACTTTGTGCTTGTTGTGGTAGGTCTTGGTCAGGAGCAGTGCAACCGCACAAAACGCTAAGAGTTTTTCTTTTCTCTTGTGTTTTGTGGTGTGTTGTGAATCTCGTGTCGCACCGCTGCCACTACTGCTCCTAGGCCAAGACTGTTAGCCCCCTACAAGCCTTCGAGAGTGTGAGTGCCGCGAGTGTGCCAGAAATCTTCGACTTTGGCTGATTGAGGCGGAGGCGTGCTTGCCTCCAAACCTGATCGGCAATAGGATCATTGATGCCATTCCCTTTGGTAGCAGGCTTGCGGCTTTGTTGTCCCACCTCAGCGTCGACGACGTCACGGCCATGGATGGCTACAAGAAGATCATTGGCATCATTGAGGAGTCGCGCGCGTGCCTGAAGGAGGCGAGGCTGGAGCAGGCGTTCGAAGCAGCGATCTTTCGTGGAAAACGGCGCTATGGCCAGACCATCGCCGGCTTCCTTGCTTCGAAGAAGGCGGCATTCTCGGAGTTGAAGAAGCAGGGCTTGGACCTTCTGGAGACCGATGCTGGAAACCATTTGCTGGGCCATTTACTCCTGAAGCAGGGCGGCTTCACGAACGATCAACAGCAAAGGATCCGAGTCCTGACGGACGGCGGCGTCGACTACCGCAAGGTGGAGATCGCGATCCGCAAGGTCTTCGGCGACACTCTGGACGAGACTCCTGCCAAGGCGTACTGGGCAGACGACTGGGAGGACGAGGAGTGCCAGCTACTTCGGCGACGGCGACAACGGCGACTTTAAAGCGGCGGCCTCAACCTCTTCGACGACATGCTGGAGTATGACCCCGAGGGCGGCCACATCTATATGGTCTTGGACCACGATGCCCCTGAGAACCTGGAGGAGACCGAGGCAATTGAGTTCATGGACGACTACCTGTCGTGGGTCTTCTACGAGGCGCGACCGCTTCAAGGGCAAGGGCAAAGGAAAGTCCAAGGGCAAGTTCGGGAAAGGCTTCAAAGGGCAAGAGCTTTGGACACGGAAAGGTCCAGAAAGACTGGAACCGCATGCGCTACCAGCAGGGCATGAACCTTCAGCCTCCTCAACGGCACCTACACCATGTTGTTCTTTTGGAAGGTCGAGGACAGTGGCCACAAGCGGTGGGCGTCAAGAAGTGGACGCGCTACGACAACAACGCAGACTGCTTCCGAGTCTCAAGCAGCCAAGGGCCAATGTGGAGCGACGTCACGCGGCGGCGCGCCGTTGACTTGGACACAGGCAAGGTCGTTGCAGACGAGAAGTTCACAGGCGACGAGCGTCCCAGGATGCTTAGCCGAGCTCTTCCCCAAGGTGTGAAGAACATTGAGACCAGTCTGTTCTACCGACCTCGACCAGGACACCCTGATCCTGGAGTTCCTGTGGACGACCAAGCTGACCGTGGCGCTGACATGGACGAAGACCGGAGACTCTTTGATCGTGGACTCAAACGAGGGCACGATGGCTCTAGCTGGACACCATGGCACGCCGCAGCCAAAGTCCAAAATTGGCGGCGTGTGGGTTGCAGACTGTGTGACGCCCTGGGGGGACAAGCGGAAGTTCCCTGTGATCGCAAATGCGCGAGACCTTCAGGCCTTCAGCAAGCTGGTTAAGACGGACGTGTTTTACACCTACTCCGAGCTCCACTCTGGATGGATCTGTTTGACGAAGTAGTCAGGCAAGGAAATTCAAGAGCGCGCCCTGAACACACAGGAACGCAAGATGTTCGATGAGGCCAAGCTTACTGAGATCGAGAACTTGGAGGGCTCGAGCGCCATCAGCTTCATCACAGACCCTGAGGGATCAAGAAGATCAAGGAGTCCTTCAGCCACAGGAGAATGCCTTGACGAAGAAGCAACAAGAGCTTGGGCATTTTTTTCGTGAGAACATGGCAAAGCCAAAGGAAAACACCCTAGCGAAAAGCCTTACATCCGTTCGCCGCGCGGTTCCAAGCCGCTTCGCGAGAGTGCATGTTGAGGCGTAACTTGCATTTACACCGCCATCCCCTCCGTGCTCCCTCAAAATTGAACGAGTGAGTGTAATGGACTCCCAGGGGAATAAGGTCCATCATCGTCATGGGGCAAGGTTGGGCAGCTAACTCTCTCAGTCTAGTGGGGGACAGCGAAGTTGTGAGCCTCAAACCGCACACTGTACAATTAGCTTGGCGACAGGTATGTTGCCAGGCGTGCCAGTGATGTGTCGTACGAAGATGCTCTAAAAACTGAATTTTGGTGGGCGCTTTAGGTCCCAGTGGCTTCCAAAATGCCCTGGACGCGTGGGATGAGGTGCTTCTGGATGCATAATGCACGGTGATCGATCCAGGCATTGATATCAGCATAAGTTCGCACATCAGGCCGCAGGCTTAACCAGTGTGTGATATTGCCGGCGCAACGGTCAGCATGATCATTTGACAAATGCGCCCAATCCAAATCTGGGCCAAACTTGGTCTGAAAAGCTTCTAGGTCAAGATGGGAGTTGACCCACACGGGATACACACTGCGGCCAACAAGGTGAGCCTGTACCTTAAGCCACAGGTCAGCGTGTGGGGTTTTAGTCCTCAGCTTGCGAGTGTTTATGACGCGCCTCAGCGTTCTAACGGTAATCTGGGAGTCACAACTGAATTCCACGTTGCCCTTTGTGGAGTCCAAAAGAGAGGCTAATGCATAGAGCTCAGCTCGTGGTACTGTCTGCTTAGGGCCTGGTAGCACCCCCGCCTTTGTACCCAGGCATTCCCATCTGCCATCATGGCTGAGTGCTACAACTGAAACTCCCCAACCACACAATTTAAACCGCCTATCCTTGAAACCTCCACTGCCATCTGTTCCATAGCGGTATCTTGGATCCTCAAGACGCTGATTCAGAGCCCAAATGCCGGTTTCTTCAGCGTGGCCCTCATACTTTTTCCTAGTTAGCTCTTTGATGTGTGTCCATGGGGACGGCGTAATGGTGCGATGCCAATAACACTGTTTGTCTGGCTTGTGAATGTCGTGCATCCACTCTGCAGGGGCTGCACCGTACGTGTCATTTAGCTTCTCACATTGATAAAGCAAATGTGTGAGACTGGCATCCTTGTGGCAAAAGGGACAAGTGGGCATAACGTTGTTTTCAAGACACGGTATGCTTCCTTGCGCCAGGGCTAAGAGGGCACGCTTTTGCTTAAAACTGGTGAGCATCTGCAAATGCTTGATGGCTACAGTGAGATCGGCACCATGCTCCAAACCTTTGCCACCAACATGACGCGAAGGTTGTAACCACAGCTGCTCTTCCTGGGACTGCTCTAAGAGGTAACCTAACTGTGATTGTGCAAGTGGCCTACCAACATCAACAGCGTGCGGGTTGCCATGGTTGTCATACCACGTGTTCAAATCTGGGGTTTTCCAATTCAGGTCTTTCAGGCGGCACATAAAAGCGCTAAGAGGGCCCCGGGCATAGTGCCAATGACTGACTTTGGCTGCTATCAATTGGTAGCTCAAACGCCAGACTCTGCGAACCTGGTCCTGCAATTTGGGGCTGAGAGCGTTAAAAACATCGAAAAACCCAGACACTTGCTGCATAAGAGTTTTGTGCATTGGGTCGACTGCACGCGAAGCAAATAGCCTCCACCCAGTTGTGAGGCAACCGAGTTTATGAACGAACCCACCCGATCGAGCGATACGCGCGCGGTAAGTGCGCAAAGTGGTGGGCGCCAGTCCCAAGCCCTGCGCACCCCAGAGACCACTGGCCAAAATACTAGTTTGAACTAAATTTTTCCGCAGCCTTCGAGGGGTTTGGGAAATGCGGGCAGCTCTTCTTAAGCTCTTTGTGATTCTCTTCTTGCTGGTCGGAAGTCGTCTCAATCTACCTACAGTATTGTCAATACCAAGATCACGGATGCAGTCAAGGGTGCGTGGAAAAACATATGACGGGAAATGTTGCTGCTGGTACTGCTTCAAAGCCTTTCTAACACAGGCATGACTACACAGAAACCCTGATTTTTCCATGTTGATGCTCAGGTTAAGCCTTTGCAAAGCTTGCTGCAGCTGCAAAAACAGCAGAGTCATGCTTTCCACAACGGTTCGCACGTCCGACCCGCCTCGATCGAAGGACAATCCAGCCAACTAGAGATATCTACTGCAGGAAAATCCCTGCACAGGTCATGTAGTAGACGGTACAAGTAAGCTTTGGCAAGAGCTACGGAGCTTGGACATCCTTGTAGTGTGCTAACACGTGGGTAGATGGGTGTTGAAGCTTGTCCCTCAGCCAGCAGCACACGTGGACTGGAATGCACTATCATGGAAAGCAGCAACAACAAGGGCGGGTATCCTAATTCGATGGCCTCTTCGGCCAAAATATCCCTGTCTATGGAGTCAAAGAATTTGTTCAAGTCAAGGAGCAAACAAATGTGGTAGTTGCCAGTGTGTATGGCGACCTCGCCCTTTAGCATGCGCCCTAGAACACGCTCAAAAATGTGTCCGCCCGGGATTGCGGCATCCCATGGTGAACACTGGCTGATTTGTTTCACCCATGCCTCCAGCAAATGACCTCGCAATTTCATGTACAAGCGGTAAATATAGGAGGTGAGACTAATGGGGCGTTCGGTGTCTTGGTTTTTAGGAAGCAGGGCAACGCTCACAAACTTGACCCCTTCCGGCCAATCCAGGGTTCGCTCAGTTTGCTGGTAGAGCCAGCTCAAGCCACTAAAAGCTTCTTCTGGCAGGGAGCTGAGGGCTTGCAAAGTCCAACCATCTCCCCCACCTTTCTTGGGCTTCATGCGTCGCAAGGTTTGCTTGATCTGAGTTGAAGAAATTCGCTTTAGTGTTTCAGCTTGATTCAACGCCAGGTGCTGAAGTCTTTTACTTAAGAACGTATCGCGCCTAACATCTCCCCATATGTCAACCCAGAATTGACGTCGAGCTTGTGGCCGTTGGCTGACAGGAATACTGGTAAATGGTCGTTCGGTCGCAGCTTCATGCTTTTTGAGATGGCAGGACCCAGACCTCCGTAGGAGTAGTAGGCCCTGTAGTGTAGGATAGACCTGAGCACTGCTTTGGCAGCACGGTCCTTCCTTGGTGTGCGGTGCAGCCGTCGGGCGGCCAGTACTTGTAGCTCCAGGGTGTCTTTGCAACC